AGAAAGTAACAGAAAATGATAAAGCTACCATCTTACAGTAATCTTGGTTTTTGTTTCTTTCTGATCCAGAAATAATCTAAATTTAGGAGAATATATCTTAATTTCCACATTGGTATATTGTTTTATGTGACTGGCACAACCATTGATTGCCATCCCAGCAGCCATACCCAATTGCCCTTGTTATTGGCAGCATCTGTGTCTTGCCTTAGACTCTGATATCAGATGGTAATTTTCCAGTCTCCTGTGCAGCACAGGATGGCCAGTATCTGCCAGTGTTGCTCAGTGGGATCTGCCAGGGCTTCTGGGAAAGGTTTTCCTCATTCGGAAGAGACAGGTTTATCATGAAGACTTCCTCCTCTCTCGCTTCCTGCTTTTAAACATTTTTCTATGAGAACATGATGCCTGGAGCTGCTACAGCTATCTTGCAACCAAGAAGAGAAGAAAGTGGACCTCAGAGAAGCTGACCCAGAGCCTAAGAAGAGTCAGCTACTAGGCCAGTTCTGGAACTGCCTTTTTGATGCCTTGTTATGTAAGAAAAATAAACCTTGATTGCTCACTTTTAGTTGAGTATTTTGTAAATCCGTAGCCAAAAGCATCCTAAGTGATATAATATCAAATTTAATTTTATTATGGTTGGTAAATGTGGCCTGAAGTTATCTACTTTTTTGAATTTTACTTTTTTTTTGGATATAGAGTCTCACTCCGTCACCAGGCTGCAGTACAGTGGTACAACCTCTCCCTCCTGGGTTCAAGTGATTCTCCTGCCCCAATCTCCCCAGTAGCTGGGACTACAGGTACGTGCTACCACACCCAGCTAATTTTTGTATTTTTAGTAGAGATGAGGTTTCACCATGTTGGCCAGGATGGTCTGGATCTCCTGACCTTGTGATCCACCCACCTCGGCCTCCCAGCACTCCCTGTAAGTGCTGGGATTACAGGCATGAGCCACTGTGCCGCCCAATTTGACCTTTATTTATTTATTTGTGGTTAAGTACAAGATTGATTTCTATATATGTTCCATGAACATTGAAAAAATATGTATTCTGCATTTTTGGATACAAGTTTCTAAATAAGTCCTTTAAGCCACTAGATTGCAATGGTAAAAATCTCCATGTTTTTATATAATTTGGTATGCTGGATCAGAATTTCCTAAAACATTTTTGCCAACACCTTGAGTTTCCAGACATTTATGCTTTTTAATTTAAATTGTTTGACTTACAGGGACACACTACTAACCCTCTATTTAGGAATTATACCTTTATCTTTATATAATATCCCATTTTGCCTAGTGCAGGGTCTAAAAACCAAATCCAGCCTGCTGCCTGCTTTATAAAGTCTGAGTGTGACACATTGCATTTATGGTCTACAACTGCTTTGGCTTCACTACAGCAGAGCTGAGTAGTTGCAACAGAGACTGTATGGCCACAGCACCTATATTTATCTTATTTTTATTTTGAGATGGCATCTCAAACTGGAGTACAGTGGCACAGCCATGGCTCACTGAAGCCTCAACCTCCCATTCAAGCAGTCTTCCTACCTCAGCTTCCTGAACAGCTGGGACCACAGGCATGTGCCACCACACCAGGCTTATTTTTTAAAAATTGTTTCGTAGATACAGGGTTTTCTTATGTTGCCCAGGATGGTCTCAATTTCCTGGGCTCAAGTAATTCTCCCACTTTGGCCTCACAAAGTCCTGGGATTACAGGTGTGAGCCACTGCACCTTGCCTTCTCTGGTTTTTTAATTAAGTTTGGGCCAGGCACTATGGCTCCCGCCTGTAATTCCAACACTGGGAGGCTGAGGCAGGAGGATCACTTGATACCATGAGTTCTAGACAAGCCTGGGCAACAAAGGGAGACCCCGTCTCTAAAAGAAACAGAAAAATTAGCCAGGTGTGGTGGCTTGTGCCTGTATCCCAACTACTTGGGAGGCTGAGGTGAGAGGATCATCATTTGAGCCTAGGAGTTCAACGTTGCAGTGAGCTGTGATCATGCCATGCACTCCCACCTGGTCTACAGAGCAACACATTGTCTCAGTTTACTCTTTATTGGCAGATGACTTGCCATTGGCAAACTCGTGCTATGAGCCAGAACCATAGATTTCTGAAGATCAATCTCCACAGATACTATTATAAACCTTCTACCCATATGGTAGTTATGGCGCTCCTTGCTTTTGATGCCAAGAGCTATCACCTGGCTGCTGCCATTATTCTGAGATCCTATCATTCCCATTGCAACTAGACAGCCCAGTTCCCTAACAGCACCTCTTGCAGCCAGCTCTCGCCTAGGGACAGCCACTATCGGCCATCTCCATGATACTTATTCTCCCTTCTTGTATATCCACTTCTTTTCATCTCGTCCTCATTTGTCATGGCAGTTCTGCTATCTCCATTTTTTTAATGAGAACCAGTGCTTTTTTCAAGCTTCAAAAACTGTTCCAGCATCCATTAGAAGCATCTTTTTCCCTTGCCACTGTGTTAATCCTGTCATACAGTGACCTCATAGCAGAAAACTCTCCCCTATTCAACTTTGTATTCTACCCCCTGATGCAGCAGTCTCAGCATCTCCTCCCACGTATACTCTTCTGGTTCTTGCTTGTACGTTAGCCAGGTCCTACAGCTCCTTTGGTGTCTGAATCCAGTTCTTACCACAGCAGTCCCAGAACTTCCCCAGTTCGGGGTTGCTGAAATTTGACCCATTATTGATTTGAGGGAAAGATATGTGGAAATAAAGCATTGTTTTAAAGGGAGCATAGAAGGTATAGGGAGATCTGGGGATTTGAGCAAGGTGCTCGAATGCACGTGCTAAGAAGTGTACATCCTGACTCAGAGTTGCCACTTCTTCCCCATTAAGTTTTTCCTCCTAAGATTGAAAGTAAAACAAAGGTCCCTACATTTATCACTTTCATTCAACACTGTCCTGGAGGTCACACAGCAATTGCAATAAGAGGAGAAAAAAAAGGACAGCATGAAGACCAGAAATGAATAAACTTTCTATCTGCAGATGACACCATTGCTTATGAAAAAAATCAATAAATCTCTATGACAACCCCAAGAATAAGTGAAATGTTCGAGACAACATGCAAGATAAATGTACAAAACTCAATGTATTTTCATGTACAAGTAGCAAACAACTGGAAAAGTAAAAAACCAATTTACATATTGTGAAAATGTCTATGAACAAGCTTAAGAAAATACATTCAAGATCTCTATATAGAAAATTATAGGGTATTTCTTTTTTTTCTTTTTTTGAGGCAGAGTCTTGCTCTGTCACCAGGCTGGAGCGCGGTGGTGCGATCTTGGTTCACTGCAAACTCCACCTCCCAGGTTCAAGTGATTTTCCTGCCTCAGCCTCCCGAGTAGCTGGGACTACAGGCGTGCACTACCCAGCTAATTTTTTGTATTTTTAAAATAGAGACAGGGTTTCACCATGTTGGCCAGGATGGTCTCGATCTCTTGACCTCATGATCCGCCCACCTTGGCCTCCCAAAGTGCTGGGATTACAGGCATGAGCTACCGCGCCCGGCCTACTACAGAGTATTTCTGAGAAAAATTAAAGGAGACTGAAATAGAAGTTATGCTAAGGTTACAGACTGGAAGTCACTGCTGTTAAGTGTCAATTCTCTTCAAATTTATCTACAGAGTTGATGCAATCTCAGTTATAATACTGACAGGCTTTTTGGTAGGAACTGACAAGGTGACTCTGAACATTTATTAGAAAATGCAAATAAGCTAGAGTAGTGAGGCCAATTTTTATTGTATTTGTATTTTATTTTTTAACCCAGAAAAGCATCACCAGGATTTTTTTTTTTTAAGAGACAGCGTCTCATTCTGTCAACCTGGCTGGACCACAATGGTGTGATCACAACTCACTGCAGCCTTGAACTCCTGGGCTCAAGCGATCCTCCCACCTCAGCCTCCGAGTAGCTAGGACTACAGATGGGTGCACAACCATGCCTAGCTAATTTCTCAATTTTTGTAGAGACAAGGTCTTGCTATGTTTCCCAGGCTGGTCTTGATCTTCTGGGCTTAAGTGATCCTCCTGCCTGGGGCTCCTAAAGTGCTGAGATTATAGGCATGAGCCACCATGCCCAGCCTAGAGTTTGTTAAAATAACAACAAAACTAGAAGACTTAGACTACCAAATTTCAAGACTTCCTCTAAAGCTATAATTAAGACAATGTGGAACTGCTGAGAAGACAGAGATTGATGAAACAGATTATTTCAGAAGTGCACCCATGATAATTGACTTTTGCAAAAGGTGCCAATAACAACATGAGGAAAATGAAAGACATCTCCCAAAACTGGTGTCACTGTGGGTCAATAATACGGGGGAAAATAAACTTCAACCTTTACCTCCTCCATTATCTATAATAAAAACATGAAATAGATCTAACTGTAAAGGGTAAAAATGCAAAATAGCTATAGAAAACATGTAAGAAATTCTACATAAGCTCAGCATAGAATAAATAATACTTCTTAGAAGATAAAAAGCATAAGTAGGTCAGGCACGGTGGCTCACGTCTGTAGCCCCAGCACTTTGGGAGGCTGAGGCAGATGGACTGCTTGAGCTCAGGGGGTCGAGACAAGCCTGGACAACATGGCGAAACCTAGTCTCTACAAAAAATATAAAAATTAGGTGTGGTGGCATATGCCTGTAGTCCCAGCTACTTGGGAGGCTGAGGTGGGAGGATCGCTTGAGCCCGGGAGGCAGAGACTGCAGTGAGTCATGATTATGCCACTACGCTGTAGCCTGGGTGACAGAGTGAGACGCTGTCTGAAAAAGAAATAAAAGCATAACCATTAAAAAATGTGATTAATTAGATGTGATGAAACTTAAAGCTTTTGTTTTATCACCATTATGTAAATGAAAAGGTAGGTTACAGAATAGAAAATATTTCCAAAATCTGGTGAACTCTCATAACTGGACATGAAGAAAAACCTCTAATTTAAAAAATAATCAGCAAGACTTCAACACACACTTCACAAAAAATATATATCAGTAGTCAAGGGAAGGCATTTTTAAGTTAAATCAAAAGTACAATGACGTATCATTCCATACAAACTAAGATAGCATATTTTAAAAGACTCAGAGTACAAAGTACTGGTGATGATATGGAATAATCAGAATTAACATTTTGAGTTTTGGTTATTTGCTAACATTTTCCATTACACATTCTATAGTGTCGAGTAAGGTGAGAGCTGCATCTAAAGGACTTCCCGCACTGACTGCACTGAAACGGTTTTTCACCAGTATGAATTCTATTATGTTGACAAAGTGTGGAGGAAGTATTAAAGGCCTTCCCACAGGCATGGCATTTATAAGGTTTCTCTCCACTGTGTGTTCTCTTATGAGTAACAAGGGAAGAGTGCGCACTGAAGGCTTTTCCACATTCCTTGCATTTATACGGTTTCTCTCCACTGTGTGTTCTCTTATGAGTAACAAGGGAAGAATGGGCGCTGAAGGCCTTTCCACATTGCTCGCATTCATAGGGTTTCTCACCAGTATGAACTCTCCTGTGCAGAGTGAGCTGCATGACGCGACAAAAGGTCTTTTTGCAGTCCTTACATTGATACGGTTTTTCTCCAGTGTGAATTCTCCAATGTTCAATCAGGGAAGACAGGCGCACAAAAGATTTCTTACACTTACTACACTCATAGGGTTTTTCTCCAGAATGAGTTTTCTGATGTCTAATGAGCTGGGCACTTTGAGTGAAGGCTCTGCCGCACTCCTTACATTCATATGGCTTTTCTCCACTATGAATTCGCTGGTGATCCATAAGGGCTGAGGAACGGCTGAAGGCCTTTCCACATTCACTGCATTCATGGAACTTTTCTCTCGTATGTGTACTCTGATGCTGTGTGAGATGAGTCATCTGGCTGAAGGTTTTCCTACATTCCTTACATTTGTAAGGTTTCTCACCCGTGTGAATTCTCTCATGCTGGGTAAGGTGTGCCCTCTGGTTGAAGGTTTTACTACATTCGTTACATTTATAGGGTCTCTCTCCCGTGTGGATTCTTTGATGTTGAATGAGAGTTGACCGACGAGTGAAGTGTTTCCCACAATCTAAACACTGATTGCGTTTCTTTCGCGTGTGATTTCTCTTATGGGGAGTAAGCTGCGTATTGTGGCAGTATACATTTCCACATTCCTTACATACGTTTCTTGTACATTTTATCACTGTGTCAAACTGAGATAATACTTCATTAATAGCCCTCTTTGCAGATAACTCCTTAATCTCTGCACCTGGTGCATCTGAACGGGGAGAAAAAATCAATGAACAGAAACAAGTTAAACTAATGTAACACGCCCGCCTTTTATCTTTTCAAACCCACTTTAGGCACCTACTCAAGAAATTAAGCTACCAGTTTTTAAGGTTATATTGATAAGAATGCTTATTGAAACAGGCTTTATGTTGGAAACAAACTAGGTGTTTCTGTAGTACTACTCAGCTACTAAAAAGACTGAACTTCAGCTGTTTTCTGACCTGCAGGATAATGTATTCAGTGAAAAGAACAAGATGCAGACTTATGTGCTAAGTTATACCACAAGTTTCAAAACACAAAAAGGTAAATGATAGTTTCTGTATGTATATGTACGCATTAACCGGAGGAATTAATGTGTCCAGACAGAAGGCACCTCCAGTTAGTTTACTGCAGAAAACAATTTGACATAATATAGAAGCAATAACATCAATCATATCATCCAGGCAGACAGGGCATGAATTCTCGTTGATACAGACATTTTGAGATTGAAGAGATCACTAAGCAAACAGGAAAAATAAGAGGGTCAAGTGCAGGCTGCAAGGAAACAGATTCAGAGCTTAAGAAAACATGTACTGTGGGGAACTGCAAAAGCCAAAATGGCATTACAGGAAGGCTGATCAACATGATCAAAAATTAAAGGCAATAGGATTTGCGACAAAGACGAACATAATACCCTTCTAACCTGTAGTTATTTTTACTGTTTAGGAGCTAAAGGGCAGAGATGCTGGCTGTGCTTGATGTAAAAGTTAAGAACAGAACCGTGGTCAATTACAGAGAATGACTGAGTCTGGCCTCTTCTTCATGCACTAAACATGTGGGAATCCCAGTTTTTTCCAGATTGAACTGTGTATGTAGACAGTGGAGAGGGCTAACTTCATGAAGGCTGCAAGAGGAGCTGGTTTTACAGGGGACCTCCACCACAAGGCCTAATGGTTTTTAAAATGAACTCAAATAAAAGATTATTACCAAATGTGACGATTCAAGCTCATTGTTCTACATCCTTTGCACCACAGAAATATCCATTTTAGCAAGAACCATAAATTAGTCAGATACCAACTACCTTTCAATGTTGTCTTACTCTAACGTCTTGGTCTTACTTTGGTTACCTTTCCTTCATGAATAGTGAGGCCCTGCAGTTCTAACACAGGATGTTTCCTGTTTCTCCTGCTACCAATCAGTGCTTCTCTGCTATCCATAGGCAATTCATTTCTTCCATTCCTAAGGGTCCATCACCACAAAACATATAAAAAACACATTCATCTCCAATTCTGAATTACTACTGAGATCCAGTTACATATTTCTAATGTACAGTTCAAGACATATCTTAATTCTAACAATTCCCTAAATAAATATATCAGAAATGTACTTCATTTCCTCACTTTCTGTAACTTTAAATATCACCAAGTTTTGAAGCTAAAACTCTACTAACTCCCACACATCAAAATAACCCATTTTAATCAGTTTCTACCAGTTAATTAGTTTCTACTTTGCACAAGGTTTGTGGAAGCAAGTCTTAATCCCCTCACTCAAATGTAAACTCACTGCAAGTTTCTATACTTTTAAACAAACTCAGAAAAGAACACAGCAGGCTTTGAGACTGTTCTCCTAAGAAAGGTGTGCTTACAAGGTTGGCCCCTGATTGACCTCTAAGGAACTTGGGTTTCAGGAGGGTTTCTACCATTCCCGGAACTGGTACAAGTGACTTACCGTGCCTACACTATTTGTGCAGATGATGTGGTTTATGCAGAACACCTACTTTCGTTTTAGGAGTCTGGATTTTCCACATATACTAGGCAGAGGGTACCTTTATGGCTTCCCTAAGTGAAATTCCTTGGCACTAAGTCTAATGTTATCTAGCTGCTATTATCTCACACATACCACACAAGTTGCTGCTAGAGGAATTAAGTACCTCCTTTGTGACTCCACTGGAAGAGGAATCTCGGAAGCACATTCCTGATTTCCTCCAGACCTCGCCTTATGAGCTTAGCTTTGCTGATTTTGTTTTATATCTTTTGCTAAAATAAAACTTAGCCATTGTGCAGTCAAGAATTTAACTTTTTCCAAAGAGAGGTCTCGTCTTTGCCCTTGGCTCCTGGGAGGTAATCTCTACTGACACCTTGAAATATCCTGCATGATAAAAGTGTCTCTATTTGCCTATGGGTGTTGGACCACACCAGAGTCAAATTATGTGATTTATGTGGGGCTCCAAGTCACATGATATTAGGGCGACCTCCAGAAGGGCTAGAGCCTGAGGTGAGACATGAGCAGCCAGCCACGTCTACATGATGGTGCCCTAATAAGGAGTCTGGATACCAAGGGTCAGGTAGGCTTCCTTGGTTGGCCAAACACTGTGCATATTGCCACACATCATTGTCGGGAGGAGTTAACACTGTCCATGACTCCACTGTAGGGGCATAAATGGAAGTCCTCCTAGACTCTGCCCATGTCTTTTTCCTTGGCTGATTTTAACGTGTATCCTTTCATGGTAATAAACTGTAACCATGAGTATAACAGCTTTCAGTGAGTTCAGTAAGTTCTGTGAGTCCTCGTGAATTATCAAACCTAATTATCTTGGGGACCTTTGGATTTGCAATTCGTGTCAGAATTCAGGGTGGTCTTGGGGATCCCCATACTTTGCAGCTGGCATCAGAATGATGGTGTTCTTCTGGACTATTCACTAACTTTGCAGGCATGAAGACAACGATATGATGACCCCTGTGATGACTACTAGTAAGTCCCTGAACCTGGAGGTGGTCTTGGGGACTCTCAACAGTTGATTAGTTTTAAAAAAGGAATGAATGTTAATGAATAAATGACCAATGAATATACCCATTCAAACAATCAGACCACTATATAAGTCATTTTACAGCAAAGAAAACAACAGTATCAAAGAATCAAATAAAAAAAAAAGCTGGAGAAACAGGATACTGAGTTTAAAAAGAAGCTTACCATAGACAAAGAGGAAAGACACACCTGTAATTTCTGAGCCCACAGGCATTTATAAAAGTAGATATAAACGGTGGGTGATCAGTATCCTTTTAGGAACTCAAACTCAAGGAGCCTCAATGTCTACATGTGTATGGAACAGTGGAAGACAGCATCCTTCACATCTTAAAGGTGCTTTGCCCTCTAGAACTGGTACGCCTTTCATACACATGGCTTACACCCGCTAGTTGGTTCTTCATACTCACCTGGCAATGGGACTCTTATCTCTTCTTTTCCCATTATCCAAGGCAGTTTCCTTTTCTCCAACAGTGAAATCACAGATTTAGAAACAGAAAGTCCTGTGAAAATAAATAGAAAGAATTGGCTACGCTCTGGTTACTCAGGTATTCTGACAGATCAACACTGTAATCAAAACACAAGCCATTATAAAAACAAAAAAATTAGAATATCTGGCAGATAGGATAAAGAAAGCTGCTCACTTCAAGTTCCACATCTCATGTAAATTCTGAATCTCACCAAAGACTCCCAGTATTTAAAAAAAAAAAAAAAAAAAAAAGACACGCTCAAGACATGCTAAATTAAGGGCTTTAAGCACTTACCCAGCCAGACCAGGTTCTGATAATTCTCCAACATCACAGTTGTGTACAAATCTCTCTGAGCAGGGTTCAGGAATCCCCACTCTTCCTTGGAGAAGTTAATGGCCACATCTTGGAATGTCACTGATCCCTGAAATGACAAACACTTTCTTAGAAGAGTCCAGGTAAATAACTGGAAGTTGGGAGGAGCTGATAAGGACTCTGTGTCTTGTAAGAGTGGCTTATTTAAGTTGCTGAAGAACAATACTGTGAAATAGTGTTTATTAAAATTTGGGTATAGAAAACTACTTAATAAGGGAAACATTCAAGATGAACAGGGTGATTCAAAAAACATTGAATAATTTAAGAAATGTATTGCCCAGAGATTGTGCATCCATGTATTCAAAAGCAATTTGTAAAGGAACTATCACAGTTGATTTCATAATTTTACATATTCATAGTATGACCACACATTGACTTTGTCGAAAGCCAGTCATGATCAATTCTATCATGGATCTTTAGTGTGAGTATCAGAATAACTTACACATTACTTTTTTGCTGAAATAAAATATAGTCTCCTTTCTTTAAATCTGGATTGGACCTACAATTTGCTTTAATCAACAGAATGTGACAGAAGTAACACTAACTAGTTCCAGGTGAAAGCTTTAGGAAGGCTTGGCATCTTCTGTTTTGCCCTCATAGGGGTTCATCACACATAAGAAAAGCCAATGAGACATTGCCAATGGCGAGTGAGGGATTCTGAGACTACATCAAATAAAGCTGAGGAACTCAGCTAGCAGCAAACAACAGTGGCCCAGATGTATGACTCCAGCTATTCTAGCTAAATATAAAATATATGAATGAAGAAACCATCCTGGGGATTCAGGCCCTGGCAGGCATCATAGGATCAGAGATTAATCATTCCCACCCTGTCGAGTTCAGTGTGGATTCCTCACCCATAGACTCATACGAAATAAAGTAGTCCTTGCTCTTGCAGCTACATTATAGGGTAGTAGATGGTCCGAAAACTGCAGCAGATGTGTTATTATTTCACCTTATTTGCTTCCATCAGGTGTGCAACAGAAGCAAGGAAGAAGGTTTCATCCTCAGCTACTTTTGAAGAAGCTGGGAAGAACTGAGGATGCCCAGCCTATGGTTAGTTTTCCTTTTCAATATCCTGGGACTTCATCAACTCATAATACAACTATGATTCCCAACTACTCCAATCATATGCAGTTGCCCTGTGTCGTCCTTTCCAGATACACCCCTGCACCATCTGTAACAACAGTCCAAAGGTCAAAAGCTATTGAAACTTTATTGTACTAAACATGAGGCAGAGAAGTTTCCTCTTTTCTCACTTGAATGTGGGGGTTAAGAAATCTTCAGTATCGCTGGGTGCAGTGGCTCACACCTATAATCCCAGTGTTCCTGGACTAAGCTGAGGGTCAGGCTGCTATTTATTGAGGCCCAATAACGAGATGCAGATGAACGGGGGAGGAAGGGAGTTTTTATTTCTGTAGCCAGTTACAGGGAGAAGACCTGGAAATTACTGCCAGACCAACTCAAAATTACAAAGTTTTCCAGAGCTTATATACCTTCTAAGCTATATATCTACGTGTAGGTGTGCATTCATCTAAAGACAAGTGATTAACTTCTTTTAATCTATAACCAAAGACTGAGTCTTGAAGACCTTCCTCTGGAGCCTCAGTAAATTTACTTAACCTAAATGGGTGTAGGGTGCTGGAGTGATTACCCTTATCTTGTCTCCTGCTAAACCATGGAAGTTTGGGGAGTTCCTTCAGACCACCAATAAACTTGTTTGTGGAGGCGTAGGGAGTTTCTTCAGACCCCCCAGTAAAACTTGTTTCATCCTAAATAGGTCCAAATAAGAATTCCTTCATTATTTTGTCATGCTTTAAGGCCCAGGAAAGGCCAAGGCAAAACTCTTGGTGGGCTTTTGTTACATTCCAGCTGCTGTATAAGGGTACTGGCTTTTAATATTCAACCTGTCCGTCAGTACTGAAACAGCTGTTTTCGAGACCTGTGTTTGGTGAGACGTGGCCTGCCACACCAGCACTTTGGGATGCCAAGGCAGGAGGACTGCTTGAGCCCAGAAGTTCAAGACAAGCCTGGGAAACACAGCAAGACTTCGTCTCTACAAAAAAATTAAAAAATTAGCCAGGCATGGTGGCTCACACCTGTAGTCCCAGCTACTCAGGAGGCTGAGGCAGGAGGACTGCTTGAACCTAGGAGGTTGAGGCTGCAGTAAGCCATGATCAATATGATGAATTCATGTCCAATATGATCAATTTACACAAACAATTCACCCATCAGCAGATCCCTGATCAAGACACTGAGTATTACCAGCACCTCCAAGATTCCCCAAGATTGCTTCAAGACACACCTCTTGCTATCCTGAATTCTGTCACCATAAATGAGGCAGACTACAATATTTTTAATGAATATTTTTTCTTGATATTCTTCAGATGCCAGTATTTTCTTTTTCTTTTAAGAGAGAGGGGTCTTGTTATGCTGCCCAGGCTGGAATGCAGTGGCTTTTCACAGGTGTAATCACACTGCACTACAGTGCTGAAATGCAGGGCTGAAGTGATCCTCCTGCCTCAGCTTCCCAAGTTGCTGGGACTACAGGGGTGCCCAGATGCCAGTATGTTTTCTACAACTACATCTTCTAAAAGATCACCAAAAGATACAGGTTGAATATCCCTAATCTGAAATGCTTCAAAATCCGAAACAGAATGAGTAAGGAAAATACTGCCTGTTTTCCTAAAAGAAAGAAAATATAGGCTGGGCGCAGTGGCTCACGCCTGTAATCCCAGCACTTTGGGAGGCCGAGGCGGGCAGATCATGAGGTCAGGAGCTCGAGACCATCCTGGCTAACACTGTGAAACCCCATCTCTACTAAAAATACAAAAAAAAAAAAAATTAGCCGGGCCTGGTGGCGGGCGCCTGTAGTCCCAGCTACTCAGGAGGCTGAGGCAGGAGAATGGCCTGAACCCGGGAGGCGGAGTTTGCAGTGAGCCCAGATTATGCCACTGCACTCTAGCCTGGGCGACAGAAGGAGACACCATCTCAAAAGAAAGAAAATATAAGTTTCCCCTTTGAGAAGAAAATCTATTTTTCAAACAAAATGTCTTGGTGTCTACACTTAGCAGGCTAAGAATAAAATCTGGTTGTATTTGCACAAAATTTCAGAGACCATGCAAACACCCTGAAGAGAACTTTATTTTGGGAAATATAGCCAGCTCATCCATCTTGTCCCTTGCAGCAGACTTCTTGTTCCTCATTCACAGAAAGTCAATAGGTTTTTCCCAGAATTCCACAGATGAAGCCTGTGACTTTATTTTAAGCTGCCCAACTTCAAACTGGAACCTTTGATCCAAAACACTATCTTTGACTAATGTCCTAATAAATGGCCTGACTTTGTTAACCTGGACTTCATGCTCAAGACATCAATCACATTCCCATTCCTCCAAATTTCCAAAGGCAGATTACCATAACTGAGCCTAAACCACTCACTAGCATTTTCTATGCTGCGTCCTCTCAGTCTGAAGCAGTAAAGAAAGTCAAAGACGACTGAGTATTCACCTCTACTTCAAGAAGATGACAGTCCCCGGATAAAGGTTCTCGTCTTGTCCAGGGAAAGTATCTTTGATCCACCACATAGTGCTTAAAAGAAGACTGGTGACAGTGGAGATTCAGATTATTTCATTCAGTGAATAAATGAACACTACAGTACAGGACATGGACTCTGAGAGGTCCCCATAGTCCCATGTGTTGCTGAATGAAAAGACCTGAACCTTGTCCCGGTGTCAGTCTTTACCATCCAAGTAAGCAAAAGTAGATGTGCCCAGGACTTAAAACCTATGATGTTGCATGAAAAGAAGATAAAACAAAAACTTACCTGAGACATGGCTAATGACCACTGCGCTGGAACAGTGTCCTGAACAGTGACCGGGTCCTGGAAATGCAGAGCTAAGGAGAAGGAAGAAAACTTCAGTGACCAGATTCTCGAACCCATTGGCACCCATTTTCAACCACGTTCCTAACAAACTCTAAGAACGACAGATTTCACTGTCAAAGAAAACACTGTTTACCGTGCAGCTCTGGTTCCTAAAACTGTAACTGGGCCTTTTTCAATGCCCCAGTCGCCTACTCTGGGATAGAACTATTCACACAAAGAGTAATTTTAATAATGCCCTCCGTGTACACAAACGCCAACACACAGATCACGCGCGCATTGTTGTCAGGCACCCGCCTCCTCCACACTCAGGCCGGGTCGCCTGCACGGATCCCTGGGCCTCCAGCCATTCAGCCGGCCACTCCTCCCCGGAGTGCCTCTGAGACAGACGGCCCCGACGCAACACAAACCTCATAATGGCCCAGGCTCCGCGTGGCGCTGGGAAAATACCGTCCAAGAAAAGAGAAACGGCGACGCTGCCCACTCACGTGTCCTTGGAGCCGGCCAACCTGAAGCAGCTCCCGCACCGCGTGTGCCGAGTGGTTTCTGGGAGTAGGCGAGGACTCGCAGTGCGCATGTGCAGCCCCACGCCCCCGCTCCCAGAGACCAGAATAAAGAGGCGTCCTCGGCGAAGAGATAAGCTACCTGGGGCACAAAGTACGCATGCGTACTGACGCCCCGTAGGCCCTCGACGCCGAGCGCGGTGGAGGCAGTTCCGCTGGTGATTGAGTACGCTTGCGTGAGCTCGGCCTTGGGGGCGTGGCTTTGTGCCCGTTGGAGGTGTTGAGAGAACGCTGCGCCTGCGCACAGAGAACCAAGCGGTTGCCTTCTGAGGGATGAATCGTGGGAGGCTTTAAGAGGTGGGGAAGGGGCCTCTGATAATAACATTGGCGCGGACATGTACGTCTTAAGTTTGGGAAAGTGTTATTAGAGGTGAGTGGGACCGCCGGGCGTCTGCTTTGGTGTATCTGATTGGACCCATTCTCTGTGAGGTTAGGCCCATTCTCCGTGAGGTTGTGTGATTTGATGTGTGACCCTATGTGCAGCTCTGTGGGTGTTTTGTTGACACTTGAGCTGTAGAGTGTGTCTGCTGTGTGACTTTTTATTGTTTAATCTTTATGAGCTTCAGTTGCTCTTGTGGCAATGGAACAATATTTCTTACCTAATGGTGGTGTGAGGATTAAGTGCTCATAAATGTGCCTGGCACAAAATAAGCAATGAATGGAGAAATTGTGCTTCAGTGCATTATTTAGATTACGGGCTTCCAGGTCATTTGATTCTACTTTGTCACTGTTTTGAGCTATTTACCAACTCACATTGTGGATCGCTGATGGCAGTTCAAATTACTTCTTGTTTATACAAAAGTAAATTGGAGGAGGCTCAGTTTTACTTCCCTCCTCCATCTCCATTTGGGAGGAGGCCAGTTTTTGCCTCTTTTGCTGCTGCACATCATTTTAATTAAATTTTTTTGTTGTTGTTGTTAAACAGCGTCTCACTCTATTGCCAACACTGAAGTGCAGTGGCACCATCATAGCTCACTGCAGCCACAACCTCTTGACATCCTGGATTGAAGCTATCTTCCTGCCTCAGCCTCCTGGGTAACTGGGACTACAGGTGCGCACCACCATGCCCGGCAAATTTTTTAAGTATAGGTGAGATCTCACTATGTTACCCAGGCTGGTCTCAAACTCCTGGCCTCAAGTGATCCTCCCACATTGACCTACCAAAGTGCTGCGATTACAGGCATGAGCCACTGCAGCCAGCCACTTTAATATTCTTGATCTATAAATATGACTTTTTTTCCAGCTGGAGGAAGGGTTTATGAGTTAGTTCACGTCACCAGTTTTTCTCATTAATGAGTTAAGTAAAATCTTCAAGCTGTGTTTTTTGCCTGAGTGCCTTGTAATTTTTTCCTGATAGCTGAACGTGATGTACTTGGTAAAATAAGCTGCATGATAGGTCTTTAGTAACATGGTGATAAGATTTGGTTGTGAGAGGGGAAGTGTTCTATAGTCTGCAAAAATAATATATAAACTTAGGCACATTAAAATTTTAAAGAGTTTATTTAAGCAGACAGCAGTTCATGAATTGGGCATTGCCAGACCACATGCAGCTTAGGGCCCCTCTGAAGAGGCATGAGGGAAAGGCTTTTACAGGCTGAACTCAGAAACAAGGCAAAGAAAATACTTGATTGGTTAGAGTAGAGCCTTATTTGGCTCATTCCAGTGGAAAGTCAATAGTAGGAGGTTAGTTGGTGGTTTCTGATTGGTTAAGGCCAGTTACATTGAGTTGGGTTTGGGTTTGCTTAGGTTAAGAATTCAGGGTACTGGAGCCATCTCAGCCTAATGGCCTCCCAATTAATGGTTTCAAGAAGTCTTAATGGTAAGGTTTCAGTCTTTTTTTTGTTTTGTTTTGTTTTTTGAGACTGCGTCTCGCTCTGTCACCCAGGCTGGAGTGCAATGGTGCAATCTTGGCTCACTGCAAGCTCCGCCTCCTGGGTTCATGCCATTTGCCTGCCTCAGCCTCTGGAGTAGCTGGGACTACAGGCGCCTGCCACCATGCCCGGCTAATTTTTTGTATTTTTTAGTAGAAATGGGGTTTCACCGTGTTAGCCGGGATGGTCTCAATCTCCTGACCTCGTGATCCTCCTGCCTCGGCCTCCCAAAGTGCTGGGATTACAGGCCTGAGCCACTGCAGCCGGCCGCCTTTTTTTAAGTGTCACGTGACAATGTGAGGTTAAACATAACACTTGCAAAGGGCATTGTAGATGGGTCAGCTCATAGTGCTGAGTAAATGTTGGCTGGATGAGTGAATGATGCGTTAGAGGAAGGGGTAATGAGTGTCTTTCAGCTTCTATGTTCTGCTCAAGACTTGTTTCTTTGTGTGTTTGAGAAACAACCACATATTCATGGAGACAACTTGGCATGCAACTGTATAATTAATCATGAAGAATTGATCAATGTTTTACATATTAGGGCCCATGATGGAAACCAAAGCAGAGGAGGCTCAAGATGTAGTGGGATTTGTACCATTAGTCAAGTGGAGGGCGAGATGCAGCACACTTACAGGAGAGCATGAGATTATTGCAGTTAAACACCAAGCACTGAAAGGCACGCAATAGGACGTCATGCAAAGTGCAATAAGCCGGGCACAGAGAGACAAGGCAGTGCATAGGGGACATGTGGGGTCGGAGCCCCCACACTGAGTGCACACTGGGGCACTGTCTAGTGTAACAGCCATTATTCTCCCAGACCCCAGAATGGTAGATCCACTGACAGCTTGTACCTTGCATGTGGAAAAGCCATAGGCACTCAATGCCAGCCCATGAGAGCAGATAGGGAGGCTGCTGCCTGCAAAGCCACAAGGGGCAGAGCTGCCCAAGGCCTTGGGAGCCCACCCCTTTGCATCACTGTGCCCTGGATGTGACACAGGGAGTCGAAGGAGATTATTGTGGAGATTTAAGATTTAATGACTGCCCTGATGGGTTTGGGACTTGCATGGGGCCTGTAGCCCCTTTCCCTTGGCCAATTCATCCCTTTTGGAATGGGAGCTGCGAGCTGTAATTAGGCCACAACTCAATGCTTATACCCTTATTGTATCTTGGAAATAACTGCTGATTTTACAGGCTTTTAGGTGGAAGGGACTTGCTTTGCCTCAGATAAGACTTTGGGCTTACGAGTTAATGCTGCAATGAGTTAAGACTTTGGGAAACTGTTGAGAATGAATGATATATTTTGCAATGTGAGAAAGACATGACATTTGCAAGAGGCCGGGGTGGAATAATATGATGTGGATCCATGTCTTGACCATGTCTCATGTTCAGTTGAAATTCCCCGTATTGGAGGGGGGTCTGGAGGGAGGTGATGGGATCAAGGGGCAGTTGTTTATAAATGATTTAGCATTACCCTTTATGGTACTGTCACCACAAGAATGCATGAGTTCTTGTGAGATCTGTTTTACTGTTTAAAAGTGTGTAGTACCTCCCACCCTCCCTCGTGCTACTGCTCTTACCGTGTGGAGGTGCTTCACTCTCTGTTTTCCTTCTCTGGTGATTGGAAGCTTCCTGACACCTCCCTAGAAACAGAAGCTGCTATGCTTCCTGTGCAGTCTACAGAACTGTGAGTCAGTTAAACCTCTTTCGTTTATAAATTGCTCAATCTCGTGTATTTCTTTGTAGCATTATGAGAAAAGACTAACACACACACTACATGACTTTACTTATATGTGGAATCTGGAAATAACCTAAGTAACCGAATAGAATGCTAGTTATCAGCAGCGGGGGATGGAGGACCAGGGAGATGTTTGTCAAAGGGAACAAATGTTTAGCTATAAAATGAAAAATTACTATAGAACTAATATATAGCATGATGAATCTCGTGAATCCTAATGTATACCTAAAATTTGCAAATAGTATCTCAGATGTTCTCACCGCACATAACACACACACTTTGGTAACCATGTGAGAGGATATGTTAATTAGGTTGATTGTGGTAATTATTTCACAATTATGTGTACATCAAAATATTATATTGTACACCCTAAATATATCTATTTTTTAACTTCTTAGTCATATCTCAATAAAGATGGAAGAAAGGTAATCATATATTGTTTTTTAAATTTTTTAACAGCACACTCTCTAATTCTCTGAAAATATTTCTTCTCATAAAACTGATGCCTCTGAAAGAAAAAAAAAAATAACATGCAGTTTCCCAGCCTCCCTAATCTCCTAATGAATTCTCCGTACTTAACCCTTTCAGACAATAGTAAGAAAACAGCATGTCTCCTTCTGGTTGACAGAGAGGCTGGTGTTAGACTAAGCTTCCTGACGTAGAAACCGAGAAACCCACATGAATTGTATCAGGCAACACTTTCAGCCAGTGAGAAAGGGTCATGCAAGATTGATATCCACATGAGAAGGGTATCCAGCAAGTGGAGCCCCATGATCTCCCTATTCTCTGCCTGGGGATAATTCCTCTACAGTGGACAGAGCTGGAATCAGGGCCAAGTAGAGCAGTCCTGCTGAGCTGAGGATGCAGAGGTGGGGGTTCAGGCAGCTGAAGTGGATGGAATTAACAGACAGTCATTAGGAAGGAAGGCAGTCTATGGGAAGGATGCCTCAGAAGTCCATTTCTGTAAACACAGATACATCTTTGGTACACTGGTTTTCTGTCTTTTGGATACATACTCAGCAGTAGGACTGATGGATCATAGGTTAATTCTCTTTTTAGTTTTTCAAGGAAGAGCCACACTGTTTTCCATAGCGGCTGTACTAATTTACATTCACACCAGTGGCATGGGAGGGTTCCTCTTTCTCCATATCCTTGCCAGCATCTGTATATTTTTTTGTCTTCTTAATAAAAACCATTTTAACTGGGGTGAGAGAATATCTCTTTATGGTTTTGATTGGCACTTCCCTGATGATGAGTGATGCTTAGCAGATTCTTGTGTACCTCTTGGCCATTTGATGAAGACAGTGTCGTACATACAATGGAATATTATTCGGCCATCAAAACAAATGAAATCGTGTCATTTGTTGCAACGTGGAATGGAACTGGGGGCATTATATTAAGTGAAATAAGCCAGGGACTGAAAGACAAATATTACATGTTCTCATTCATATGTGAGAACTAAAACTGTGGATCTCATGGAGGTAGAGAGTTGACTGGTGGCTTCCAGAGGCTGGGAAGGGAAAGGGGAAGAAGAGAGGTTTGTTCCCAGGTACAAAAATACAACTGGACAGAGGGAATAAGATCTAGTGTTTGACAGTACAATAGGACAACTATAGCTAGCAATATTTTGTGGTATAATTCAAAATTGCTGGAGGAGAGGAATTGGAATGTTCCCAACATGGGTGAAGGTCTGGGGTGATGAAGTCCCAATTGTCCTCATTTATTGTTATACATTGTATGCATGTATCAAAATACTGCATGTACCCCCAAAATATGTATAAGTATTGTATAATGATAAAGTCTGTGTCTAGGCCGGGCACGGTGGCTCAAGCCTGTAATCCCAGCATTTTGGGAGGCCGAGACGGGCGGATCACGAGGTCAGGAAATCGAGACTATCCTGGCTAATACGGTGAAACCCCGTCTCTACTAAAAAATACAAAAAAACTAGCCGGGCGAGGTGGCGGGCGCCTGTAGTCCCAGCTACTCGGGAGGCTGAGGCAGGAGAATGGCGTAAACCCGGGAGGCGGAGCTTGCAGTGAGCTGAGATCCGGCCACTGCACTCCAGCCTGGGCGACAGAGCGAGACTCCGTCTCAAAAAAAAAAAAAAAAAAAAAGTCTGTGTCAGGGCCTCTGTATACTTACAGCTGAGAGCTGGGCTTTGCATACATGAGGCAAGATCACCAGACATTTACCAAATAGCAGTGACTATGTTTTATTATTCCTCACTCTCCAAACTTATTAACACACAGCAGTGACTATGAACAGTCCCTTAACACCCTTGGCATCCAGCTGATTCATTGAACATAGCCAGACAAAAACAGACACATCACGGACAGTGGAGAAAGAGGAGAAAAAAG